CCTTTTATGACCTACTAAGATCACTCTTTCCCAGTAAATTCCTTCCTAATGTGTTAGAACCAGACTGACTTATTTTTACCATTCAATTCAGGAGAGCCAAAAATGATTTTCTGCAGTTGAATGTACTAATGAAAAGAAACAAGCTTCTTGGAAAAATACTAGTATATCTCAGCAGGAGCTAGTGTCTCACTTCCATTGAGAAATCTGGATAGCTTAACTGATTTTAGCCAGATGCCTTTTAATAGACAATTCCAATGTCTTTTTCTGTCAAATGGAGCATCCGGGTAGCAACAGAATTTGGCTCTCCCCCCCCCCTTTTTTTCCCAACTTTTAAAATGCATCTGCCTAAAATCAGGCCACTTTTGGTATCAGTAATAAGGTTTTTTTAGTTTATTTCATCTAATTTACTTTCAGGGAAATGTTAACTGCTATGCCATCTGGATTCTATTTCCCATTATCTATCTTTTTTTCTCCTGTAGGAGGAAATATCTTCAATTGTTAATGTAAGATTAAAACATTCTTTATTATTTTTATGTTTACCTGCTTACATGAAAATAAATACCTGAACTTTTGAATTCAGTGATTTTGACTGAACAGACAAGTTTAGAATGCCATTGCAAACTAACATTAAAATTGCACCAGCAAATATCATCTTAAAGGTATAGCTATAAAAATAAAAGCAAATTGAAATGAAAATGAAATCCAATTCAGATTAACAAATCAAAGAATCCATATACAGAACCAGGCTCCTCCAGTCACAAATACATAGAACTATCTGTATGTATTAGTAGCAAATAGCAACCTAATTAGGCCAACAAGTAATGGCCCTTGGAATAAAAACATTAGGGCATTTTCCTGTTAAGGAGTTTGAATTTTTTTCTCATTGACACCATGGCTTCTTTGCTCTCCTGTATTGTTGTATAGAACTGAACTGAATATTATTTCCAGAATGCATAGCTGAATGAAGATTGGCAGGGGAACTGAGGTCTCAATGTATGGAGGGTGCCATGTTGAGAAATGCTGTTTTTTATTGTGGGCTGCTTGAGACTCAGCATTTAGAATAGTTTATTGCCCTATTATTAGACCTCATCAGTGGTGGGATTCAAATATATGAACAACCAGTTCTCTGTATGGATGCCGCTTCTGGAAGTCCATTCTGGGCCTGGGCAACAAAAAATTAGCTACCGGTTCTGCTGAAGTAATGCGAACCAGCTGAATCCCACCTCTGGACCTCATCATGAGCAAGCATATTGATTAGAAACATATTGAGCATACATAGTATGTAGAGCTTCTTTTCGGCTCAGATAATACAGATAGATCCATTAGATTAAGATGTAGTTGCCCCAGTAAGCATAAAGCAGCATGGAAGATAATCATCTTTTAATTAAAAAAAAGAATTGGATTTGTTTGATGCTCACTTTATAAATGTTCTTGTTCCTAAAGTGCTTCTCTGGCATTATTATAACTTGGCTAAAAAAAAATTAGGATATGTAAAGAGGAGGAAGAACTATCTCAAAGGAAAGATTAGGTTGTGTTTTTATGGGGAACCATTTGGGATTTTAGGACATGTACTGAGCATTTTTATGAAATGGTTACCAGAACAGTTACGCTTATCATATTGCTTGATCATTCTTGATTCTGAGAAAAATTATTTTCATATGCAGCCTATTGTTGTCACTGCTGCTCTAACCAAAAAAAAAAAAAAAAAAGAGGGGGAGAGGAAGAGTTAAAAAAAATTCAGAGTGTAGCTTAAATCCCTTTCAGATAATTTTAATGTATTTATAAATCAAAGCCAGTGGAAACATTGCAGCTTCATTCACAATTGTTAAAAAGCCATACAGAAAACATACTGTGCTGAACAAGTAGGCTGTGCTCCTGTGGTGTCAGTCCGAATTCCAAGGAAAAGAACCAAGAATTTAATCTGGATACTATTAAGAAATTCTAGCTTTTTTGATCACAGTCCAGATCTTGGAAATGCTTTTGATTTTCCTTTCTATATATACAGCTTTCCAATATATCTCATTCCTGTAAGCCATGCTGTTTTATCTCAAGAGGCACTGTTTTCTGGGCCAGGGGTAATGTTTTTTACCTCTATTTCTTCATGTATATTTTGCTTGGGGGGGGGGAAGTTCATCAATACATCTTTTCTTCTTAAATTGTACACTACCCTGTTTGTCATTCATAAGTAATGTGTGAATAATGCTGACATAAAAATGTTGAAACATTTTCACCAAATTATAAGAGCTGAGTAAATACAGATCGGAATAGAGTAAAAGTCTAATCTTTATCATGAGTAAAAAAGGCAGTCCCGTTATACTGCTAGGGAGTAACCTGTTTTGCAGTTAATGATGCAAAGTAATAAGTTCTGTTAGGAAAATGACTAGCCATCACAGCCACTTTTGTTACTTATAAAAGAGTTTTGAGAGGACTTGTTATACAGAATTTTTAAAAATCATAATAATATAGAGGAGAATTTGGCATGAATTTCTCAATCTCCCTTTGAACTGTGAAGCTCTACTTTATCCATTCCTTTTCTAACCTCACGTTTCTTTTGTCTCTCTGTGTTTCTATTGTTAAATATTATTTGAGTTAAGAGTTACAAGAGGGGAAGGAATGTTCCGCTAGTGGCCTTGATTGGGAAACTGTTCTTTATTATCATTGGCTAAACAAAAATGTCATGCAAAAATTAGGTTTGCATGTATGCACAAACACACACGGAATGTAATATTGCCAGCCTTAGTGTTGGAACAGAGGCCAAAGGATCTCATGGACGCCTGTTCTATGTCAAGCATAAACAAATACTGGAAACAGTTAAATTTATGATAACCCTCCTAAAAAAGACAATCAGCAACAATGGGGAATTGAGAATTAGAAAAGCCGAGAGTTGGAAAAATTGTAGTCTAACTTAAGTTTTATTTGTCATTTTAATATTTATTTAAAATATGCATCTATTACCTGTTGGGCAGTACAGGCTCTTAATTTATATTCTACAAGCTCTTTTGCATTTCATATTTCAAGTTCTGATTATTTAGTGATTTATTCAATTTTTATCCTGCTATTATGTTTTATATCATTTTTGGCTTTCTTTTCTTTCACTCAAAAATACATATTTCGATGCTGCTTCCTATCATAATTGACCAAGCAAGATCATAATATCTAATATAATGTCATAGAAATATATTAAATAAATAATTGCTAAATCTTCCCTCCAGAAAGCTCGGTCTCTATCAGCAGCCAGTTTTTGGTTAAAGATTTTACTCTAATACTCTCTTTATCAAATATTCCCACAGTTGGTTTCTTTATAAAAGTTCCGGAATAGAATTAAAGAAAACTAGTGTACTTGGCCATTAAACTTGCATAGTGTCATGCCAAGCAGTAGTGAAAGACAGTATTTGCTCAACAGAGCCAGATTAATTTGATGCAGGGAGGGAAGAATGCAATTGCAAGTAGAACAGCAAAACTCCCAAACATATTTTGTCTACCTGTGTACTTTGAAAGTATCTTGAAAATACCTTGAAGGCACCTTGAAGGCATGAAGGAACTGAAAATATTTAGACCTAAGAAAAAAGGGCTGAGAGGAAATAGGATAGCACTCTTTAAATATCTGAAAGAATGTCACAGAGAAAAAAAAAAAAGGCCTGTTGTCTGTCTTTTCGGAATTCAGGACAAGGAAGAAAAGAGTTATGTTACAGGAAGGCAGAGCCTATAAATCTACTTACTATTAAACATGTAATAATAAGAGCAATGCAACAGTGGAAGGAATAAGGATGGACTCACGATCGCTGGTTGTGTTAAAATGGGGCTCGACAGCCAGATGCTTTACTTTTCATTCACACATTGAACAGGGGTTGAACTTAATGCCAGAATGGTTTTTTCAGATTCTGTGATTCTATTGTACATGTTATCTTATTCCTTCTTAAAACTTACTTCATTTTTATTGCTGATTTTTTATGATACATATTCTCTTCTAATTTCACAATCTCTATTATTTGGCTACAATATTTCTCTAAGGTGTTTTTTATGACACATTCAAATTGGGTAAAGGTCTAGTCACTAAGACTCCATATTTCATCTTTTAAAATGATGGCAAGGAACAATGCTTTATTTTTATCATTATTTTATTAATATAACACATCTCAAACAAACAGGAATTTTTTGGTTGTGATTGTAGCTGCCAAATCCTAGAAAAGTCTTTTAAATGCAGTGTATGCAAGGAAATATGGACAAAATGAAACCACTAAGAAACAAAAGGAAATTTATCTCAAAAATGCAAAAAAATTAAATGAATAAATAAATAAAAACAATGTTAAAGAAAAGCCCCAAAGAGTAAAAAACAAACAAACTCAGACCAATCCAGTAGCAGAGGAGAGGAAAAATATGGCTTGCTGGATCACAGAGTTAGAGTGAAAGAATAACATAGGTCCAGGTTTTTTTAGCCTAATGCCAGATTTATTTCTTGTTTGTTTTAACAAGCATTTATTTCATGTTAAAAGCAGAGCATGACGACATGATCCCTATGTCAAACAAGAGCTAAATTAATGATTGGAGTAGAAAGCTTTGACCATCAGAAGGCAATGCATTCATCAATCACAAGTTTATATATGTGTAACTTACTGTCAGTCTAACATGCTACAAAAATACACAAATCGCAAAGGAAAAAAAGACTTTTTCCATCTTCTTTATAACTCCAGTCACAATATTTAAATTTTTCTTTCAATACCATAAATTCAACCCCTCAAATATTGAAAATGTGAACTCACTGACCTTGAAACCATCATGTATGGCAATGGATCCCAATTTTTTTTTTTAAAAAAAAATGATTTTCAGATAAGCAAATCCTCTTCAGATGTTTGTGACTTTGGTTTTAAGTTTATGTACACATTTGGTTACTATTTTGCCTGTAACTTAGAATCATCCAACAATATTATACAGATACATATTGGCACTTCCTAGGCCTCCATTATGGTGATACATCTAATTATGCATCTTCTTGCTAACAGGTATTTGTGTTCTGCCATGGCCTGATGCAGCTGTCTCAACTCCTCTACAGTGCTTACTTTAAGAGTAGCTTGACTACCATCGAGAAGCGCTTTGGCCTCTCCAGTTTGTCCTCTGGCTTTATCTCCAGTTTACATGAGGTAATTGTATCAACTGAGCCGCTTCAGGATGAAGCTGTTGTAGGGTTACTCCAGCTGAACTTCCAAAAAGTGATGGAAATATGGTTATACCAGTATCTACTGAATTACATTGGATTAATAGGCTACAGATAGGCTATACAAAATTTTAATACAGAATTTTAATACAGATTAATGATGAATGATGATGAATGAATAAATCTGAGAATATAAAAATGAGGCATAGTGAGTACGGTATGTGTCACATGTTATCTGTCTCTACGCATACCATGTGTCTAAGATACCATGTGTTTTCTATGGCATCTAAATTAAAAATAAACAGTGGTAAGTAGAATTACAAAAATTGTCTATCTGTGTGTACATGTGCACTGCATTCTGAGTAATGCATCCAGGATGGGGGCCTTAGGTAATTTCTGTGTCAGTGAATTATAGTATATTGTAGCAACATCCAATCACCTATGACATGAAATTGGTGTAGCAATGGCTGGATGACTCTGGTAACTTTAAGATGTGTGGACTTCAACTCCCTGAATTCCACAGCAAGCCTGAAGTTAAGTCCACACATCTTAAAGATGCTAAGTTTTGAAAAATAGAGGTCTGGAATATATTATAAATTATTAATATGGAAATGATCTTAGAATGGAGGAATCACCAGCATTGAGGTCTTACCTCTAAAGAGATGTATTTGGAGATTTAGTTTTTTTGGGAATATTTTTTTTATTGCAACATCAAACCAGATTTGGTCCATTTTTAAAAATATATATTACTGGGCTTTTGCTGATCTTTCTTGTCATATCAAATTTGGTCCCATTCTGTTTGATTTTCAGAGAGATAATTTGCTGATGGAAGGCATCCTGAGCCCTTTACAGAATTTCTTTCCCACATTTGGGTAGGTTGGAAAGAATAAAAAGGAGAGCAGAATCACTGATTAGAAATTAAGATAAGAATGTTGCATAGTTCCATAAGGAAAAAGAATTGCCAAATCTCCTATTAATCAAACACATAAAAGCAGCTAAACTTTTATCAGCATCTTTCATTAGATATTGTAATAGGAAAATGTCCATTTAAATAGGAATCAAAACACCTGGAGATAAATGCAACAAAATATCTTTTAACTGCAACAATCATTCCTTGCCAATGGAATGCAGAAAAGCTCTGAAATTTCACAGGTTATATACACTCTGAAATTATACCTAAGAATTATAAAAGGCAATGTAAATAACAGCATGTTCTTTACACCCGGAATCTGATAAATACATGAGATGATCTTACTATGGGCTGATCAGGCACCATTAAGTTCTACTTTTCTAAGATGTCTCCAAACATGCTGTTCACACTGATATCAGCAACTTATAAATAATATATTTTATTGTACTCATGTATTGACTCCTTTCACACCAAGAAAAGACTACAATCTGGTTTTTAACTATCTGTCTCTTGCCCTTCCAGGGTCATCAGATGGTTTCAGTTTGCCTGCTCCTTCAGCTGTAGAATTTAAGATCCCTCACAGTGATAGTATTTATAAGGCTAAAAATATGATTTGCTCCCCATAATATGTTTCACATTCCATTATCCAGATTATTTTAGAGTAAATCAGTTATTCTGATGTCCATCTTCATTAACCTCCTCCAGATCAAGGGTGCAAATTTGTGCCTTCCAGATGCTTCAGATTATAGTTCCCATAATTCCTTCAGCTGACCATAGTGGCTGGGGCTGATGGGAATTAAAATTTAAGGAGGCTGTAGGCTTTTATTCCTGATAATTATAATAATAACTATGCATTTCTTTTAGATTGTTCAATTACACATGATAGGCAAAATGCCAGAATTAGAATCCTTGAACTTCCCCTCAACTCATTTTTTTTAACCTATTTTATTCAATATTCCAAATTGTTGTTTCTAGAGATGTTTCTCTTTCCCATATTTGGGTAGGTTGGAAAGAATAATCTCTTTTGAGCAGCAGATTTAAGATTTAAGTGGCAATAAATCTCTCCTAAGATGCAAAGTGAGGACAAACATTGTCTTTACCTTTCATTGTGGTGAATGTTAAAATATTTCTATCAACTCACCATAGTTTTAGGTTCATTGTTCAGGATTGTTTTAAGAAACCCTTCCCTAACTATGACTTTTCATATGCATTGAGATGGAACAATTTCCAATCAGGGTTTATATTGGCCATACTGATCAAACATTCTGGGAAGTCAATTTCAGTTGTCTGGTAGCCCATGGGTCAGCCAAGGCTGTTTTGTTTTTTATATCGTCCTCAGAACTATTTTATAAAGGTTATTCCTGTATAGAGGTTTACAGCTGAGAGTTTTATATTGGGAAGGGCAGAATATGTAGCTCAGTGTCAGAGGACATGTTTTCCTGAAGAAGGCCTAAAGTTCAATTTTTAGCATCATAAGATAGACATTAGAGAGCCACTACCTGTCAGCATGATATCTTGTAGTTGGTATGTGAGGTGTATTTGAGTGTGTCTCTGCAAATTTGAGTCCATGTCATTTGCTTTTCTAAGGAATAGGTGCTTTCTATGAGGATCGTTTGAAAGTACTGAAACTGGGCTTGTATATTGTAGTGCATCCAAACACTGTATACTGTATGTAGAAGTGGATATGATTAAGACCAGCTGATATATGTAAAGACTGGATTTTGTGTTGTTTGGATTAGTCATATGAGCCCAACTGTGATTTATTCTGTAAACTATAAAATATGTATCTGTGGAGATTCTTAGTCTTTCAGGTCATGGTTGTCCCAAAGATGCTTTTTCAAGAGGCAACTGGACTTTCTTGTTTTTCTTTGAAAACGTTTCACTTCTCATCCAGGAAGCTTCTTCAGAAGCGAAATGTCTTCAAAGAAAAGCAGGAAAGTCCAGTTGCCTCTTGAAAACGCATCTTTGGTATAAAATATGTAGAAATTCAACAAAATGTCTGCAGATGCAGTTCTAAAAAATCACTAAAAATGTTTTGCAATTAATATGTTACAAACATCAAAACTCTTTGTCTCAAGCTGAACAGCCTCCAGATGTGTGGACTACAATTCCTAGAATTTTCAGCAAAGGCCCTTCTGGCAAGAAATTTTAGGAGCTGGTCCACATACCTAGAGGACACCCAAAGTAAAGTTGTTTCAACAGAACTCCAAGTGCATTGCCTCATTTACGGTAGGAAACACAGGAACTTCTTAAGGATTTTTTATAATAAAAAGATCTGGTCTTATTCTTGAGGTTACCATCAAGTCTGCTTTGTGATGTTCTTCCCTGAAAATTTCTTCATGGTCACATTTATTCTAGCCCACAAACAGCTATCATTATTGTCCTGCCAAGTACATATGTTTTTGCTTGGAACTATTTTTCATGCTTTTTCTACAAGCTTCCCTGCCTGATCACCGGGATTGTAGGTTTTCTCAATTATATGTTGGAATGACTCCAACAGCTGGGCCCAAAAAAATGATTCTAATGTACAGATGGAACAATGGCAAAATATGTGGCTGAAATGATTGAAATGTACCTTATGTTTTATTAATCTTATGGTTTTTATTAAAAAAAATTCTTTTAGTATATGTCACAGAGAAATTGTCCATAATATTTAAACTTCAAATTTATGTTAGAAATGTGAATAAAAAGGAGCATTTTATCATCTCTGGTGGATGGGTCAAAAGTTAGAAAATTCTGAATTCAAATACATTCACCAATTAAGAAGATTTTAAAGATTAATATACAATTGAAACAAGAAGGGTTTCTTTTGGGATTGATGGACAAACAGTTGGAAAAAAAGTTATGGAACTTGTTTTTATATATGATGCCTGCTGCATGATTATCATATGCACAAATATGGAATGATTTTGTACTATCCACAAATGGAGGAATGATTGTTGTTGATGATGGAACTTGCTGAGACGGCTAAATTGACTTCTTTGATCAGAGAAAAGATAACATCTACATTTATTGCTGACTGAAGCCCCTTATAGACTGTTTGCATGAAACAGAAAATAATGAACTTATGATTTATGCTTTTGAAGATTAGATTATAGAAAGAAGAGAGTTGTGTTGTAGTAATAGAATACGACGTAAAGCTGTATTGAACTTATAACTGCTGTAAAGGTCAGAAGCTAATTTTTTGCATTTTTCTTTCTTTTTTTTAACTTTTCTTCCCTTTCTAGCACTTTTAGCTTTCTCTTTGATCTCTAACTTCTTCTTTTCTCTTTTTCACTTTATATTAGTTTGTATTAGTTTTACATCTCTTTAAAAAATCTTTTATAAAATTGTATATTGAAAATAATGATTAAAACCAAGAAAGGAGACTATGTGTGTGTATATTTTCATATATACGGTATGAGTGTGTGCATGTATATGTATGTATATATGTGTGTGTGTGTATACACACACACACACACACACACACACACACATTCACAATTACAGAATCTTTTCTAGTTCTAAGACAGAAAACAAGCAAACGAAGGAGGAAAAGAAGAAATCCAGATGATCCTCCTCATCTTGTGAAATCACTAACTTGTGTCCTTTGGGATCTCCTAACACATCTGTATATTTTTGTCTCTCCACAGATTGGCAATGTTATCCTCATCATCTTTGTTAGCTACTTTGGGAGTCGAGTTCATCGACCTCGGATCATTGGCCTGGGAGGCTTGCTGTTGGCACTAGGGGCCTTCCTTTTGACTCTTCCACATTTCCTTTCTGGTCGATATGAATATTCTTCAGCACAACTCTGTATGTAACTTTCTAGAACTCTTTTCTTCTCCAAGTCCTCTGTAGATATTTGAAAGTTTAGTGGAGCTCCCTGCCTTCTTCTTCTTTTTTGCTTTCTTTCCTACCTTCAGTTTAAAAGCATCCCCAAATTCTTGATTTGTTCTTGTTAAATCCTGTGTGATAGGTATGTGATTCTCTCTAGCAAGTAAGTCTGGAGGGTTAGTTACATGTTAAAATAACTTGGCCTTTGGCCATCTTAACTTCCAAAATTCCAACAAGCTATGTGCAGCCTCTGTGAAATGACTTGTCTACTCTGAGGATGCCAAGCTGGATCAGGATCAGGTGAATTTGAGGCAGTGCAAGTTTTCTTTCATGGGTGTCATTGATTATTGTTTTATATATTGAATTATTGCTCTCAAAGTATCAGGATTCTTTGATGCTACTAAAATGAGTAGAAACCGTCCGCAGATAGAGAAGTAATAATAATCAGAATATTGCTGTATAGTACAAGCCTTTTCTTTGATCAAACTCCTATTAAAAAGAGAATTTTCAATCTTTATATGATATAGTATTTTATCTGTATTAAGGAAAAAACAACAGAAAAAACAAAACAAAAAAGGGGAAAGGAACAGTATACATAAACATACGTACATACATACATAGCAGTATAATCTCTTACTCATCTATGCTATTTATCTTTTTTAAACTTAATGCTATTATTGCTAATATAAAAACTTTACAATGAGATGAAGATTGAAGTGAAAATTCAAGATCAGATTTAATATGATAGGAAAAAAACACAAAAATTAAAAGAGAAAAAATGTGTCTAAGAAAAAAATTGATACTCCTTTTTTTCTCTACTTTAATATTGTTATACTGCAGTATGTTTCAAACTTCTGTATTATTGCTCATTGTATTCTATTTAGACCTAAGAGGAAACTATTGATTTATACATTGATTTGTTATATAGTCAGCTTGGCTTCCAGCATTTCCCACATTTTCTTTTAATATCAGGCAGAAACAAAGAGCCTTATCTACTCTAGTCAAAAGGAGTTCAACATCTGGTTGGCAGAAGCAGTTGTTTCTAGTGACATCAGCTGGACTTGATTGCTCGGTTGCCAAGGACTTGGATTAAAATTCTGAATTTGTAAACAATATGCTATTCATCAAAAAGCAATGTAGGACAGTGGGTAAGAAAATTAATTTAGGAAGCACTGGCAGGTACATTTGGCTCCTTCTAAACCTTCTAATCATACATATAATCCTGTAATAGTAACTTTTAATTCTGCAGTCATGATATTTATCTATAAAGTATCCAGAAAGAATACAGAAAAACATTCTCATTTGTTTTTGGAAGAGGAAATCTGAATATACACAGTACACATAAGAATAACATCTTACAATATTTTCTCTTGTACTACAAGAGATTTTTGTCATTCTATAGAGCCATCTTTCTGCACAAACAATTATGGAATAAAATCATTGGAAAATGTGTTTGTAGAAAATGCCATGATCTTGAAAATACTTACGAATTTGTTAAGAAAGATCTTGGGGGAAGATTCAGCAAAAAATATTATTACCTAGATTGTGGATTTTTATTTACTATGGCCTTGGAAATCTTCAAAAGATTGCTTCAGAACACTTGGGAACACATATGAAGTACCTCTTACTTCTGTGGGCTCTATTCCAGTGCAGGCAATGATTCCAAAATGCTATTACTATATTGTACATTATGGACTGTCAGTAGGTAAAATCAGAAATAGAAATACATAAACCTGCATGGTAATTCATTAAGTGCTGAAAATTTGTGGTAATATATGAACCAGCAGTGAAAATACAGAAATAACAACCTACAGTGTAGGAAAACTAATCTCTCTCTCTCTCTCTCTCTCTCTCTCTCTCTTTCTCTTTCTCTCGCTCTCCTTTTACTCCCTTCACCCTTAGAACCGAGGTTCCAAAAATCTTTCTGAACATATCCCTATAACAATGTTATCATATCTTGACAGAAAAGTTGAGGCCAGGTACTAATTAAACTAAGGAAGTTTATAGGTGTGGCAACTCTCCACAAATCCAGGAATTTATTTATTTATTTATTTATTTATGAGACTTATATATCGCTTTAAGTGCAAGTACTCTCCTAGCAGTGTACACCAGTAAGCAATGTATATATATATTTACATTGCCCCCAACAATCTGGGTCCTCATTTTACCTACCTCGGAAGGATGGAAGGCGGTTTAGATTTGAACACAGTCAGCTAAAGTGGCCTGCAGTACTGCACTCTAACTGCTGCGCCACCTCGGCTCATAATGAGATCATTAAGCAAATTTAAGGATATAATTCACTTGTCATGTCTAGCTTGATATTGTTAGTAGATCTCTGAGATTATAAGAATTGCAGTCGTTACCACCCATGATGCTGCTGTTACAAAGGATGATTCTGGATGGATGTTAGCCAGCATAAGGTGCTTCAGGTGCTCCTGAGACTTTTTCAGCTTTCTCCCCCTCCCCCCCTCAAAAATGTTCACTTTCCACGTGTGAGTCCTTTAGATCCCAAATAGAGTTATTGTACTCCCACAGTCTCTATTGTTAAATAATTCTTTGTTCAGCTGGACTCTACCTATGCATACCAATAACAATGGGAAATATGGCTTGTGTTACTTCCTCAATCCTCTTTTTTTTTTTCCCCCTGGAGCATTGCAAGTGATTATGTATGGATAACCTACTGCAGGTTGATTCTTAAGTTCACTGTTTGCCCATTTTTATATATACAGTAGTAATTTTCTTTTTAAAACAAAAATGCTAAAACAAGATTTAATATAAGAACTTAGTATAATAAAGAGTTAATTCCCGTGTGTTCCTCTGAAATTATTGTTGATTTTGTTCTAGATAACCAAAGCAGCCAGTCCAGATTAGAGCTCTGTCAAGGGGGATTTAAGTGTTTGAATGCCACTGTGAACATCCAGGCAGAGGCCAGTATCATGTGGGGATTAATGATACTTGCCCAACTCTTGGCTGGAATTGGAACAGTCCCCATCCAACCTTTTGGAATTTCCTATGTGGATGACTTTGCTGAGCCAAACAATTCTCCTTTGTACATAGGTAAATATTTGATTGAAAGTTGTATTGTTGTAAAATCCTTATTGTCTGGTTTGTATTGCTTTAATATCATAAAGTGTCACTGATGTATCACTAATGTAGAAGAACTGTTTCTGGTGTAACATAAGTCTGGGACTTAATCTTATAATAAAAATTGCTGTCCAGGAAGGACATGAAATCCATATTCAGTTGTGGGAACTATTGACAACATGATGACAGACTTAAGGTCTGTTCCTGTAGGTAATGGCAGCTTTTGCCTCATGAAGTTCTCTTATAAAAAGAATTTTAAGCAGTAAACTTAGAGGTTTCCTGCCATAATATATATGGCCATTTCAGTGGTAGGATTCAAATATGTGAATAACCGGTTTTCTATGTGGATGCCGCTTCCGGAAGTCCATTCTGGGCCTGGGCAACAAAAAATTAGCTACCAGTTCTGCCGAAGTGGTACGAACTGGCTGAATCCCACCATTGGGCCATTGACATTTCATATGGTAAGGTTTTTGCAGTTTCACTACACACTTGTTCCTGTTTTGTTCCTTTACCGGTAACCAGGGCTTTTTTCTCATAGAACGCCCAGAACAGAGTTCCGGCACCTTTTTTGGATGGAACCTTGTAGGGTAGGCAAGGCAGGTTGTATGATGTGTGAGTTCTGGCACTTTTTTTTTTTTTTTTTTTAGAAAAAAGCACTGCCAGTAACAAGTCTTCTGGCAATTGCAAGATACCAACTCACCTTGGCATATCCAGCAATTGCAGCATTATATGCTGTATTGTAGCACCAGTGCTACTACATTATTAAAATAACTGGCTATCCTATAAGATGAAGCAGGTTGCCCATCTATCTTAAGCTCCTGGGTTCTCTTATTAGATGCAACTTCTGGTAAGCTTATGCAGGAAAAGAGAGGAAGGGTAGAAACCAGCATCCACAATGCTGACCTACATGCATAAGGACATGTTGTACAAATGCTCAGACACCAGTCAGACTCTAAATGCTCTTAAGCAATTTTACCACAAATTTTAATTTAGTATTTGTTAATTGAAACAAGGCCTTTGTTTGTTGTTTGATTCAGTTTGAGGAGGCTTTTTTTTTTTACAAGAGGCTTTTCCTCCTCTAAAAAAAACTTACTTTCAGTCTTATTTAAAAATTGGATTTAAAAATGGGATAGATACAATAGGTGTGGATGAAAATTAATAAAATCAGTTATGTCCTGGTTTTGTTTCTATTATTGTTTGGTCATCTATATAACTGTCTGTCTGTCTGTCTATTATCTCATCTTTTTTAGTTTTGGTTGCCAGTCCTTATACTAGGAGAAAATAATACCAGCGTAACATTTGCTATTCCCACTGGTGATCCCTATCCTGCCAGAAACACATCATTGTTTTCATCCCCATTAAATATGCAGACCCAGTGGGAAGTCATCACCAATCACTTTCTTAGAAAGCAAGTTTTTAACAGAGGCTGTCTGCCAAAACACTCTGGGTTATTTTTACAAGTATTTGGCCTATGTATGTTCACAGAAAGACCAACTGACAGTCAAGTTACTTTTAAATACAGGCTTAACAATGTAGTGCAGTAAGTCTTAATTATACAATTTGTTTTACAATAGTACTTTACACAGTTATTTTGTAGTACAAATAAAAGTCCTTGCTTTAGATATTCAGATCAAACTTCATTACAGTCTTGGAAGAATTAAGACCAGTGAATTGTAATTGAAGAAACGTATTCTGCACAATGTAATCCCTTTTTTCTTTTTTCTTTTCAGCAATCTTATTTTCCATCTCAGTGTTTGGTCCAGCTTTTGGCTACCTTCTCGGCTCTGCAGCACTGAGGATTTTTGTAGATTTTGGACGGGTTAGCCTGAGTAAGTGTTTGGTCTAATTTAGGGAAGCCATGGGCTCTCACACATTCAGAGGCTTGGAAATTAAGCCACAATCACATAGAATATGTTCCTGTCTCCATTTGCCACTTGCAGGCAGATTTTTGAGACATCGCAGGGTGGAAGTATACAGCCTTCCTCAATTAGAGGTACTGTGAAATTCTGCAGTTCTTTGTTCTTGAAGCAAAAAGCCAGAAACAGTAGGAAGTATGCAAATATGTTCATTAAAATATTATTCTAATATGAATATTATCAAATTGGGAGGGGATAATTTAGTTGTTCACATAGTGAAGTCAGTTGGATATGCGTGTATAAGCTACTATGGCTTGAATAATGCTTTGAATGAAGTATTATCATGTAATGTGTTGCCAAGAACTCAGATCAAATTTACAGAAACCAATTGTCAAGATGGATCTCTTGAACTGAGAGATCTGCTTTCACCTTTTCTTGTCCAATTCTCCCATGTCCTGTCTAATTGTAATGTTATTTCTATTACTTACCATGGGATTTCTAGGGAGAAATTCACATTTTATTGTAATAGGTTTTGCATATGCAAAATAATATGCATCTAATTAAGAATTTGGACTTATAAGTTTAAGTATAATGCAATATGTGGATGACCTTGGGAAATGAGGGGAAGAGAAGTTGCATAGGAAAGAATCAGGCAAGAAAGGCAGGAGCCCCCAGTGGCTTAAAAGTCAGAGGAAGAAACTTAGAAAAGAGACCCGCCCTAATTGGTCAGGCAGTTAAAAGTAGCAGCAAAAAGTTGATGTCAGCTTTCCCACGTAAATCAGACAGGAAATATAACGAGATGAAAAAGGCTAATAGAATTAACTAATTCTGCTAATAATAAAGCTAATGGAATCTTGTAAATCTGAAAGCACAGACTTCAGCCACTATACTAGTACATTTATAAATGTGTGGGGTACACACAGTTCTTTCTAGCAGCCCAGAGATTTTCTTTCTCATACGCATGCCAAAGACATCCCAGGCAGACTGGAATTTCAGAAGGATTGCGGACATCTTGTCCTACATTAAGCAAATAAATATGCCGAGAGCGGGAAGTGGCAATGCGTTTCTTCTCATTAGTTGCCTCTTGATTATTTCACCCAATCTTGAGTGGAATAGTCACATCCAGGAAAACTATACCATCGTTTAAATGGGGTGTGGGCTCTTCTTTTCTGCATGCTTTTAATGCTGAAGGACAGGAAATCTAGGCAGAGCTGGAAAAGTCTGAAGATTGCTATTTATTCCTTCCTGCTCATTAACAATGTGGAGCGATACTTTCTGTGCCAGCTTTAGTGATCAGCTGACTGTTTGAAGCTAGACATCCTGCTGGGAGGATGTCCTGCCTCAAAGTACAGTGATCTGAGGTCTCTTCCCTAAGATTGCAGGACAGTACAGACTCCAAATGTTGGCCTTATTAAGACAGCTACTCTACTGAGATTCTTTTCAGGGAAAGGACAGTTAATATTTCCAGTTACATTGACTATTTAAGTTGTTGACTAATCAGTTTAAAAAACCATCAGACATCTAGAAAAAAAATTGGAATACAATGGTTTCTATAATAATGCTGCAATTCCACAAATGAATCAGACATGTCACATAGCCTCCCTCCTTCAGCCATAAACTGTTAAAAGTCTTTACTTTAAACAAATGTCTTTCACCACACGATACTACTAAGTTTCCACAATTTTCTGCCTCACCAGAAGTTCATATTTGGTGCCCAGTTCTATAGATAGGTTTTCTTTCGGTTTTCTCATTACTTATACTTCTTTATTCACGATTCCATTAGAGGCTGTTTCTTTTAAGAAATTGTCATTAGATAATATTTCCTGTCAATTATTTTAAAGCAGTTTTTCCTTAAAAATACTGAACCATTTCTTCAACCCAATTTAATGAAATTATGCTAAATAATGTGTATTTATTTCATTTCAGTCACAGACCAGCATAAAACTAACAACATAACAGTAACTCTAAAATAGAAATAAAAATTAAAAAAGATTAGGCAAAATAAAATTATTAATGTAACATTTCAAAATATAGGAATCCAAACCTGAGGGAGACCTATAAAATTACTATCAGTATTACCATCAATAAACTAAATGCTATAGATAACTACGAGAAAAACTATAAAAAGACATAAGCAGTACTAGGATTTGTAAAACACGACTAGAATGTAAAGCTATGCTAACTTACATTAAGACTAATACTTGTTGAAGCCCTGCTAGGGCTTGTTGGAATTATGACAATTATCCAACCCACTAAACAAAGAAATATTGTTAAGGTTAGAATTACTGAGTAATAGATAATTGTGGTTGACCATAATTTTAAAGAAGGGGGGATGTACGGTAAACAGGACCGCAGATCAAACGTGACAGCATTACTGGCTTTTTTTTTTAAAAGAAATCCTGAGATGGATTGGTCTCTAAGAAAATAGATTCTAACAATAGAAATAATTAGAATTTCAAGGCATTTGGCCACTGAGGAAGAAGGTTCATATTTTAAGTATTGGCAGAATTGTAATGTAATTTCTTGATACAGCATACATATTACTTAGTGCAGATTTCTCCAATCTGATACCTTCCAGCTAAAATGGGATTGCAATTCGCAAAGAGACTATGGGTCATGCTTCTTGAGAATTTGGGGGATTGCAGATCCAGTACATTTGAAAAATGCCAGGTTGGGAGTCTGGCCTGGTAATTTTACTTCTTGATATTTATGATTTGTTTTTCCATATATCTCTTAGAGGATGTAAACTTGACCCCAGGTGACCCACGTTGGATTGGAGCATGGTGGTTAGGTCTTCTCGTAGCTGCTGGTTGTTTGCTCCTCTGTTCCATTCCTTATTTCTTCTTCCCTCGATATATGCTGAAAGGGAAGGTAAGTCTTAAGTATTGGATTGGAGATGATCTTGCTAAATGGCAACGGTCAAAGAGTCCTGTCCATAATGGAATATAGCGTGTTACATAAGAGGGGAAAAAACCTATTTACTTCCACTTTGTGCGGTGAGAAGTGATTATTTCTTGTCCTAGATTAGCCATTTTTAAAAATTACAAACTTTTTCTTTTTTTTACTGTCCTGAAACTGCCATTGGTTATTTTAATATATGAATTCAATTTATAGACAAACATTTTGTTATACATAATAAAACAATAGATCCATATATAATGAAAAGATAGAAATGATACTACAACTTAGTAAAGCCATGTAGGATTTTATAAATAAAACAAATGCTTTCATTTTGACATGGTAGGCAACTGAAAGCCAATGCATCCAATGCTGTACAATGCCACCAAGAGATTTCCAACATAAGCTTGGATACTGTATAGTCTATATTCTATGACCTTCCAAATGATCTTCTGTTTTCTTACATAAAAAAAGCTTTATTGCATCTGTGAGTTCATTCATTAATCTTTTTCCATCACATTTATCTTTTACTTTCTGCTACACACTCCTTCCTACCAATCTCAGATCTTCAAGAAGAGTACCAAAAATGTTGTAATATTTTATAACAGAACCTGCAAAAAAATTCACTGGGCTCCCAGCAGTGATTTTTTTTTAAAAAAAAAATATTCTTTTCCATCAGGAAGCATCTGAAGCAGATATCCTGAAGAAGATTGAGAAAGCAAAGGCAGAGGAAGAGTCCCTGATGGTTTTTATCAAAAGTAAAGTGATTTTAATAAAAGTGTATTTCCAGTAAAAGTAACTCGTTGTTTTGGTAAATAATTACACCTCTTTAGGAAAAAAAACAATGTTTCTTAACATCTACGACAGCAACCATCCTGTTAATATTTGTAAGTTCAATATGGATTTATTGTTTGGATATTTCAAGTCAACCCATACCAGATTTCATTCAATTTTTGCAGCAATACTGAAAAGCAAGATAACTAAAAATAGCTATTTATTTCTTACTCACTCTGTTATGGTTTGAGTTAGCCATCTAATGACCTATCTTTCAGTGTTTTTAGATGACATTATAAAATTACAAACTACCTCTACCTAGCTGGTAGAGGTATTTTCAAATTCTACTCCAAGAGACAATAGATATTCCACATTGTTTGAAATATGATTGAAAAATCATATTCTAATAATCGCTTAGGCATTCTGTATAGTAATCTTAGAAAAATTTTCACTAGTTCCAACTGATGGCTAACTCAACTGTTTGGCACATATCTACTAATAGGCTTTTTTTTTTCAAAATACACTGGTGATCACTAGATAGAAACCAAGAGATATAAACAACTCTAATCCATTGATGCTACTAAGTGATCAGTAGGTTGAATATATAGTTTCATGGATGAAGAAAAGTTCAATTTGTCAACAGAAAAGAAGAAAAATCAGTGCATGGAGAAACTAGAACATTGTGAATCAATTGGAAGAAGATTTTTGGTTAATTAATTATATTGGGCAGGGCTGGAATTTCAAACAGAGAAACCATCAATCATAGCCTTTAGAATTTTTGTATCTGTCTGTTTTGGGAGTACAATTAAGGGCCAATGCAGCAAGCCTCAGGAGATGTCAGCAAAATTTAGCATAATATAATAACCTGATGCTCTGGGATAGGATGGGGGCATATCAGAGTAGCTGTGTGAATGTAGCCATGACTTTTCATAATGTACAAGGTAGTCCTCGACTTACAACCACAACTGAGCCCAAAATTTCTGTTTGTAAGCAAGACAGTCATTAAGTGAGTTTTGTCCCATTTTATGACCTTTCTTGCCACAGTTGTTAAATAAATCACTGTACTTGTTAAGTTAGTATTGTTGTTAAGTGAATCTGCTTCCCCATTGCTTCCCCCCCTTGTCAGGTCGCAAAAGGTGATCACATGATCCCTGGGACACTGCAATCGCCATGAAGAGGAATCAGTTGCCAAACATCTGAATTTTGATCACGTGATCATGGGGATGGTGCCACAATCATAAATGTGAAAAATGGTCATAAGTTACTTTTTCAAGTGCCACTGTAACTTCAAATGATCATTAAATGAACTGTTGTAAGTCAAGGACGACCTGTATAAGATAAATCTAATCAAGCTAGCTTGGCATACTAAAGAATAAGACTTTAAACCGGGAGACTTGGAATTCTAGTCCCAGTTTTAGCATAAAGCCAATCCTAGGAAGGTAGTAATGGCAAATCACATGTCCAGGAAGTCTCCAAGAATCAGATTGAATGGAATGATTGAATCGAATGATTGAATGGAAACAAAAAGTTTAATCTGAAAACTTTCCATACCGCATGCAAGTTTAAAGTTTCTGCTGAGTTGTAGAGAACTAATCTTATAGATTATTTTATAACCTTGGTTCCTTGCTTTCCAAAAGTAATTTTATACTTTGTTGATATTGATTTGTTGACTTTTGCTAGATGAGCATAGAGAAAAGTTCACAAGATAGAGGAATATAGCTCTGAATGAGCTGTATGTGCTTTAACAGTTTGAGGATTGTAGACTTAAATCTCTTAAGCTCCAATTCAGAGCTATCTCTGAACATAACACAGTGAAAGTATGAGTAAATGTTATCTGTGTTATTTATCTTATATACTTCTTTTGAACTATTGTGAGATGGAGGGATAAGAAAAGGAAAAAAAGATTCTAAAGAGCTCTCGTCTTTTTTTTTTTTCCATGAGCATTTTAGCAGAAAGCAATTAAAGCCTAAATCAATCAAGCCTGGTCTTCCCCAGTCTAGTGGTTTCCAGATACGTTGAACTGCAACCCTACATTTCACGTAGTTAAATAAATCTGGAGAATATCAGATAGAGGAACCTTAGTCTAGAAAAGCATCAGCATCTTTAAGAATAGATGCCTAACAGACTTATCTTAAGAATTGGTCTTCTTACTGCAACTGACATCTTTAATAAAATGCTACAATAATTCTTTGGGTGTACCCATGTCCTGAAGCCCTTTCCTTTCTGATCTTCACACACTTCTATTTTTATTTTCAGAGTTCCCACAAGGCTTCTTAAGACTGCTCCTCAATCCACTCTTCATGTTGTTGGTCTTGACGCAATGCAGCTTCTCCTCTATTCTTGCTGGTCTCTCTACCTTCCTCAACAAGTACCTGGAAAAACAATTTGGTGCTACCTCCTCTTATGCTAATTTCCTCATTGGTGAGAAAACTAGAACAACCCATTTAATTTGAGCTAGTAGCTGAGGCTTTCTGAAAACAAAGCAGTGACTACTTAGAGTGTTTAGCTACGTTCTTCATATTCATTTCATCCAGTAATGCACCAGAAAGCAAGCGCACTATTGAGATTGAAGATCTAATCTGTGAAATTGGAAGGCATAGAATAATTAGCAAATAATCTATGGGTTGCCAACAGTGTGCCACCAAATATCTGTTAACAAATATTTGTTAACAACACTAAATTGAGGGCAATGAAAATTAGAATTCACCAAGAATATTGCTCTCGTTGCATCTGCAGTATAGTGGCTGCAGGTGACCATTTCTACATATTCTAGTTGTTAATCCATCCAAAATCCTTCCTTTTATATTTATATTTGTTATTTTTTTAAGATACAGTGGCTGTGTAACTCCTCCTTTGAAGCCTGTATTGCTGTCTTAAATAATTAAGAGGCACGTTGATTTAAATGGATGAAATACCTCAATATCAGTAAAAGAAAATATGTGTAGCTCAGGGTTGAAATAAGGGATCTTTGTTACTAGCTGCTAGTTTGGTTAATGAAACACCTGCAAGAAAACAACCAAGCTCAGAAAGCACCAAATCCAACATCCCTGTGATAAATTAAATGCCCTTCTATACAGCAGATAGATACAGTACTGTATAGGAGGTTAGAGCCTAGGGCGCTCTTGCTGTTGCTATTACTGTGAAAAATAATTGGCTCAGTAGTGCTTTTCTTTTGCCACTAGCAGTAGTGAACTAGGCCTCTCGATGACAGGAGCATGTTCACTGTTTTCCCTATTACTGAGAATATTATGTTGGAAGGAGACAATGTCATTTTTTTCCCCTTGGCTCTGGGAGGGTAAATAGAATCACAGTATTCTCTGCAAAAGAATTGTCTGTGTTTGCAGTTGCCTTTCCTGTAGAAATCGTCTGCCTTTTGCTGGATGTTCAGTGTGCAAGATGCAGGATTCCTTCAGTTTTATATGCAGAAAAAAATTGCCAGTAGGAATTTCAAAGTGCAACAGCTAGGAAATGGAATTGATTATCCGATCCTCACAATAAAAATGAAGAAAGATTTTATTATGCAAAAAGAACATACAATCCTGCCTGTACCAATTTTAAGACTGATTCCATCCTGTTTCCATCAAGAGATTTTTTTCTTTAGTTGTGTAGCACTGTTTCCAATTGTTAAGGATTTGTAACTCTCCTCAACCCTTTCCTTTCCTTTGTAGGATCTATGAATTTGCCTTCAGCTGCACTAGGGATGCTCTTTGGAGGGTTCATCATGAAACGTTTTGCTTTCTCACTCAAAACCATTCCACGTTTCACCATTGTGGTGTTACTTTTCTCCACCCTTTGCTATCTTCCTCTCTTTTTTATGGGCTGCTCTTCACAGACCGTGGCTGGAATTCACCTGTCCAGGTAACATGCTCTACTCTTCCGGCAGTACTCTTTGGCAACTAGGACATAGAGCTATAAAATGGCACAGAGATTTCTCTTTATTTTATTTTGACAATTTCTTCCTGTCCCAGTCTTCAGATTTCTATTTAATTTTTTATTTATTTAATTTGTTCATTTTTTTTACTTTATTCCACCTTATCTAACAAATATGGCAAATGAGTGTGGCGATGAAATCCAAAATGGGTTCTTTAGCCAGTGTCTTGTTGTGGCGTTATTGTTTTTGCTATTCTGACTTATGCTGACTTGTGCAGTCTACATTTTGCTGAATCATTTTGTGCAGGGATATCACTAAAACTATCTCCTTTGTTTTCCAATGATGCTTGTGCATCTCCTTGCTGCATGTTATGGGACTGTATCACTGGCACTGTATGATATTTGGGGTGAACTCTTCTCCATAGACTACTCATAATTAAGTTATGGAATTAGGTGGAATTGCCACTATGTTAGATGGCTTTAAAAGATAAGTAGAGGGAAATGATAGCTACAACTGTTAGTTATGATCGCTAAGTTTGTCTTCCCAATTCCAGGACATGGTGTCCATACTCTGCCTTTGAATATCCTAGTAATTACCATGGTAAACTACTCACATGAAGTTTTGGTCCAACTTAGTAGAACTGTTCTTATATTATAATATTGCAAAAAGCTCCAAATTATTCATTTAAAATTATTTGGAGACATGAAAGCAATACAGGTAGTCCTCAACTTACGACCACAATTGAACTCAAAATTTCTGTGGTTAAGCAAAATATTTCTTACATGAATTTTGCCCCATTTTACAACTTTTCTTGCCATAGTTGTTAAGTGAATCACTGTACTTGTTAAGTTAGTAATGCAGTTGTTAAGCAAATCTGGCTTCCCCATTGATTTCGCTTATCAGAAAGTCACAAAAGGTGAGCTTATAACCCCGGGATACTGCAACCGTCATAAATACGAACCAATTGCCAAGCATCTGAATGTTGGGGATATTGCAATAGTCGTATGAAAAATGGTCAGGTCATTTTTTTCAGTCCCATTGTAATTTTGAACAGTCACTGAACAAATGGTTGTAAATCAAGGACTACCTGTATCTGTTTTCACTAGCTCTTCCATTCAAGAACTTGAGCATAGAGAAGCTAAAATGATGGAAGTCTTATTCATTCCAAAGATTATAAGCTCATTCCCAGAAAGGTTTTGAGAAAATCCCACTATTTAGCAAGCTTTTCCTGTGATGCTTTAGAAAGATGAAAGCTCACTGATAAAATACGTGATCTGTGCTTAGAACGAAAGTGGCTCCAGTCTTAGTCCTCGAAAAAACTTATGTATTGCATTCCATTGATTCATAATGTTAAATTGTCATTGGTCAGGAGTTCATAATATGGGGGAATGAAGGGTCCAATTCAAAAAGAGAATTGTAAGAATGTGATCTTGCCTTGAGAATGTACTTTTGCCTTAAGAAGCTTTTCCATTTTAATTACAGTATCATTTTGACATTTCCCCCCTTGGTTTCCACTTGATTTCTACTGATAGGCTTATATCAGATAGATTATTTCAGGAATCAAATGATTTTCTCCCCAAATTATCTGCATATGTTTGTATGTGTAATGATTGTGTATGATTTAACTAAACATCATTAGCAATACCTTCAGAAGGCAATAGGCCAAGGTTCAAGATGGCAAGAACCCAACAATAACAGGCTGGAATCACCAGCCCACTCAAGAAAACACATTTCACTCATTGGTTTCATGTTATTTTGTCTCCTTTTTTTCTGGCAGTACATCAAGTTCCCCAGAACAGGATCCATGTAACCTTCGCTGCTCTTGCTCAAAGTATCTCTTCCATCCAGTCTGCGGAGATGATGGTGTGGAGTACCTCTCTCCCTGTCATGCTGGCTGTAGTGGTTTCTTCTCTAATTCTTCAGTCTCTGGAATTGTAAGAGGTTAAGGATGCAGAATGGCTCTATTGGGTTATTTATGGGATTCAAATCTATCTAGCATTCAACACGTAGACAGGGTGGGACTAAGGCCAAGTCACTCTTAGATAAGGAAACCAAGTGCTTTCTCCTTAATGATAGTGTTTAGAGCAGGATTCATTACTGAAAATAGTGCTTTTCATGCAGAGAATCTCAGTTTTAATTCTGATTATTTTAATTAAATATACTTCTCAAAAAAAAATTGAAGAAATATTGTTCTTCAACATAAATAATAAAAAATACATGGATTGGCAATACAACACATAAGGTAGCTTTACTAATACTATCAAGACAAAACCAGTTTTTTGTCAGGTTTAATATGAGTCCTGTTCTATTTATTTAAAAAGGATCCATTTCTTTAATATCTCATCACACTCCATAATCACTCTGAAACAGAAGTACACAATTTTTTTCAGGCTAGGAGATACATAAATTTTGAGAAGTATGGTGAGAAGGCACACTCCACTTAAAAATGGATCAGGCTGGAACAAAGTTGATTTTGTTGTTTAAATTAAAATTTAGCATCAGATCAGTAAATTAATATTGTAAATATGTTTATTGTCCATGTATCTAATCACTTCCCCTTCTCATAATAAAAATTACAGTATATAATAATTTTTAGAATACAAAAGCATGCAAATTCAAGAAGGTTAACAGGTTCCACTTCAGTCGGAAGGTAATAGTGTTCCGGTGCTCCTTTGGCGAATAGCCATGGTGGCCACATGACCATGGAAATTGTCTTTGGACTATGCTCCTTTGGCCAAGAAATGGAGATGATCACCTTGCCCTAGAGTCAAGACATGATTGACAGGGAAACTTTTACCATTTTACAGACTGTATATTGGTGTGCTAAACAGCTTTCTTATAATGTCTGCTGTTTATTATTGGGCTTTCACATGTACTTCAAGAAGTGCAGAAGCCAAAATCTAAGTTAGCTTTAGAAGCTGTATTTTACTTTTAAAATTGCTTTTTGTGGTCAAAGCTAATTGTTTAAGATGCAGTATCAGCACTGTACTTTTTCATTTATTTATCTATTTGGGTATTTGTATTTATTAATTCCTGCTCTAAACTTTCAGAATAATGGATCACAAATGTAATATCAATATATAATTTTAAATGTGCATATAATGTCTATAACACTAGAGTAGTATTACAACCAAATTCCTTTTCCCCTCAAACATATAACCACACTTTTCAGCAGCCAAACAGTGAATTGGCCATGAAGTAATTAAGCCATGAACCAGTGGGAGCTGATTTATATTGTATCAAACTATTTGTTTATTCAGTGTTGTATATTCTGACCAGTTGGGCATTTAGAACAGAGGTTTTCTTAACATTTGTACTTTAAACTAGAAAGGCCAGGGATTGAATCTGGGTACTTACGATTCTGATGCTTTACCATTAAGCTATGGTCCAACCTTGAAGTGAATTGATTTCTTGAGATTGATTTCCCTTCTTTTCTTTCAACAAGATCTATACAAATTGCTCCTGTATCTCCACCAAGTATGGACAATCTTCAGCAAAGACTGGATCTTGCCCTGTTAGCTGTGCCCATCTGTTGTTGCCTGTTATATTCATCATTTCATTTTCTGCATTGATTGCCTGTCTTTCTCACAACCCTCTCTACATGATGGTGTTACGGTAAGAAGGGGCTAGGGCCTTAGTAGATAGTCCCATGCAATACATCTGTAATTTGTAATACATACAAATGCCAACTGTAACATAGCAATATGGAGTAAAATAAAAGAAATCCTAAAACCTTGATATATTTTCATACAGCTTTTCCCAGTATAGGTGCTCTACTGACATTTGAATCAACTTCCAAAATTCCTGAGTCAGTATAACTGTTGCTGAATAGTCTGAAATTGAAGTCTGACCATTAGTAGGGCAGCCAGGTGCCTTCTAAAAGTAAAAGAAATTAGGTTTCACCTGGTCTTATTGTACAAAGTATAGAATTTATGGAGTACTATCACCAGAAATGTTTTTTATATTTTTATAGGCTCTTTTCAAGTTTAACACTTTTTTATGTAAAATAATTAAATAACTAAAGCCAAATGGGTTGCTGAATGCCCAGGCATATGAATGACCCTACAAAAACAAGTGCCAGGCTTTGAACTACCATGTCAGCCATAGAAAAAAAACCCAATAGGATTCACACCCCACACAGCATCTGCTGGGACCCACCGTATAAATGGGGCATTGTATCCTTCCCTCGGAGGTAATTGCAGGGTTCTACATCAAACTGTAGATCACAGGTCCCCAACCTTTGGGGCAGCAGGGACCGGTTCCATGGAGATAAGTTTTTCCATGGACCAGAGGGTGCGTGATTTTGTGTGCTGCCTACACAAAATCTTTGGCATGCTTGTTTGTTTGGCATGCATATGGCCCGATACTGGTCCACAGACCAGGGGTTGGGAACTCCTGCTGTAGATCAAATCACTGTAAGCTGAGGGCATATACCAGTCCAGTATCTGATTTTAAAAAAATAAATGATGCTGCGCTTCAGTGGTTGGATGGCCTAGATCCATGGTGGCGAATCTATGGCACACGTGCCACAGGTGGCACGCAGAGCCCTCTCTGGGCACATGCACCGTTGCCCCAGTCCTAGGTCTTCAGCTGGGTTTTATAAAACCTTTTCGCTTTAGGCATCCGCCGCTGTGTGCAAAAAAAAAAGGTTCAATCGATCAATTTCAACTTCTCGCAGGAAAAAAAAAGATCTCACAAAGTTGGAATTGATTGAACGTTTAGTCCCACCCAGTCTGCCGTTACCACCGTAGCCACGCCCACCCAATGGGCCACACCCACTCGGCACCCAACAATACATAAGTGGGTTTTGGGTTGCAGTTTGGGCACTCGGTCTCTAAAAGGCCTAGATATTGGTATTTGAACATAGATCTTTTTAACATTTATATTTTACAGTGTTTTACTAATCTAGGTGAAATGTTAATATATATTGCTAAATCATGTGTGATATGCCATATGCTAAATAAATAGATAACTAATTTGCTATGGCTGTTCTACAACCATTCATAATCATCATCAGTCTTTTTAGTTTTTCAGAGAGCGGTACCAAATCCTTGCTCCCCCTATTTGGCTTTCTGATATACTTTACTATATTTTGATTCTAAACAGAGTGGTGTCCTATGATGAAAAGTCTTTTGCTATTGGAATCCAGTTCCTATTGATGAGATTACTGGGTGAGTATCAGCCCAAGTCTGCAAACCTAAAGTTATTTATAAAGCAATAACCCACATCGAACATAGTAGGGATTTACTTCTGAGTATACATGCAAAGGGTGTTGGTAATATTATTTTAAGGAAATATTATTTTAAGGTTTTATATTGAGCATAGCAAAAAAGGGGGGAAAATGACTTAAGGATTGGCAACTAGTGGGTTTTTCTTTATTTCTTTCTTTCCAAGCCTGGTTGCCAGCTCCTACCCTCTTTGGCATCCTCATTGACTCTTCCTGCACATGGTGGAAGAAAGCCTGCAATAGTAAGAGTGGAGCCTGCCATTATTATAACAACAGCTTCTTCCGCAGCAGGTAAGTGATGGGAATAGTGATAGTTCTCTCTGTGTGAATTAGACAAGGGCTTTTCTTATCTGGGGTAGATAGATAGAACTGATGGACTGCTTGCCTTCCATAAATCATGCCAGTATTTACGGGGCCCTCCAAAAATGCTGATGTCATTAATAAATTATTATTATTATCTGCAGCATAAAATCTGACTTGGTAATTTGCCCAATATTCTCTTTATTGTGCATAGCACTCAGGGTGCAAGTTTGCTGCATTAAAATCACTTTTAAGTTGTGTAAACTAAACGAAAATTAATAATTACAAAGCTTAAAGCAATAGCAGGAAAACCTGTTCATAATGTGGCTTTGTTCTGCTTGTCTCTTAAAAGGCTTTGATGCAGTTATTTCTGCATCTGACTATGTATGAACAACGGTAGTTGATGCCTGAATCTTCTTGGCTCTTCTTTCTCATGTTTAGGCCCCCTGGGCTTTGATTGCTGCTCTATCTATGCATCTGAATTGGCTGAGTCTGAAGGCTGTTGTTGTTTAATCAGCTTAAAATGTGTAATATTTTTGGGGAGACAGAATTATTAATGCTCCTGAAGCCTAAAGTGTGAATGTCTTGGCATTCCTTTACAACCACTTAGGATTTTTACACACACCCACCCACACACACACACACACACACTCATTTGAGAAGACTTGTTTTGACTTGGATTTTGAGGAGGATGTAAATTCCCAGGAATTCCCCATCCCCTTTGTCTCAGAACTTTTGCCATATGCTTCTTCTTAAAGCACCTTATATCACTCTTCAGAGAGGACCCCCATCTTAATGCAAAAAGACTGGTGTCTTCTCAGAGATAGCATCCTTTTCGTTTAACTTTTAAGCACATTGGTTACACGGCTTCAGGGAAAATATATGAACTGCCAGTGTAATGTATTTTACTGGGTCTAGGAAGACCTCATTCATATTCCTACTTGAAGTTAGAGTATATTGGATGATTTTTGCCAGTCAGTCACTCTGAGCTCAAAAGGTCTTGCAGGATTATTGAATAAAATGAGAGAAGACCACCCGTTCCATCATCTCCCCCCCCCCCACAATTTTGAAATACATTGGCTTTTTGTGGAAATGGTCGTGTATTGAATGCTATAGAAAAGTTCTGTGCATTATGAAGGTGATCTAGCTGTGGCTATTCATCACTGAGCAATTATTTCCAGGATAGGCCCTTTAAGGAAGTTGGGAAAGTAGATTCCCAATGATTTAATTTGAGGACAAGGGCTTCCTCCCCTTGATCCTCAGGCTTCCTGCCATCATCAACTTCAACAGAGAGTTTGACTAACATAAATAGATCAGAAAAAATGGAATGCATCTTGCCAGGAAATCCCCAGTAATGTTCCATGAAGTCCATCTCAAGAGCAGGAACATTCACTCTTTCTGCCCTTGCCTCTGGCTAGGTAAAGTTAAGAAAACAAACTTGGCTGTCAGTGCATTAGCAGTTTCCTCCTTGGGATGCAAATGGGTTGAGCTTTCCTTCCATCCACCAATCAAGGCTCCAGCAACCCCTAAATTAGTAAAGTTTTGAGACTTTAATCAGTAACAAAGGAAGTCTTTGCAATGGCCCTTTGGCATCTCTTACCACATTCTCCAGTGACTGTTCTGTTGATACCTCAGGAGATTCACCTCATAAGGAATCTCAGATATTTCCTAGCATTCCAACCATGGAAGTGAATTAAGCATCCGTAGAGTACATATCCTGATTTTCAGTTTGTCCTTTCATTCCTTCTCCCAAGGAACAACTATGAGGTGGAAATGACTTCCCTTCCTAGAGTAGAGCAGTTAACTGGGGCTAATTGAATGGGGAACAAATAGTAATAGTTCCACAGCTACTCAGGATGCAGACCCTTGAATCAGAGCCATCTGTAGAAGACCTCTCCAACCTGCTGCCTCCAGATGGGACATAAACTGTCAGAAATCTATGGCTTGCAGTTCCAACACATGTAGCGGTACCAATTTGTCCATAATGGAAGTTAGAGAGCCATATCATTGGTGGCTGAGAAGATTGCAATATGGATTCAAGAAGGAAGGAATTTTGTCTTAAAATGGAAATAAAATGGAAACCAATCTGAGGCAAGCATATTCCTGCCTTTATAATAATAAATCATTAACTTGGATTGCACATCTTATGCTCTCCAGACAGCAGAAAACATTTTAGCACACTGAATCACACAATCTGCCATGATATGAACTGCTTCACTAAGTAATTATGAATCACCTGTATAATATTGCTGTTATCTTATAACCTCATTTTTTTCTTTTGAAAAACCATATGACTAGTAATTATCTGGAAGTTCAGGATAATTGATCCCAGAAGACTTATTACTGTAATGCCAGCCACTTGTAACATTCCACTTCATAAAATGATTGAAAAATTGCTACTGTACTTATCTCACTTTGTTAATTCTCCAAAAGAAATAATATAACAGTTTTGGGACACCTATAGAAGGGAAACTATTTTTTGTCCCTAACAGAGGAGTTTCTTCTCGTGCCGCTTTCTTTTCTTGATAACATAGAATCACATAGACTAACAGGAAGGGACCTTGGAGATCTTCCAGTCCAACCCCCTACTCGAACAAGGGGTACTATTCAAGACAAATGGTTGTCCAGTGTCTTCTTGAAAACTTACAGTGATGGAGCTTTCTGGAGACATTAATCCATTCCACTGGATTAATTGTTCTCACTATCAAAACTCACATCCAGATCTGGAATTTCCATTTTCATAGAAATCTAAAGATTTCTAAAATTCAAATTTTTGTATCCAAATCTGAGTGTTCGGAGCTTAAAACAGAGCATTTTAAACCAATTAAAAATTATTGAAATAGCCAGTTTCATCAGTGAAACATTTGCTTTGCACTCGGGCAACTGCTTAGAGTTCAAATTCAGAATTGTTTACTTTTAACATGTTTTGCAAATCACTTGTTTTTTTTCTAAGTCATTCAGCTAAGTTTTTTTATTGCGTTTTATTTCAAAAGAAATTACCTTCTCTCTCTCTCTCTCTCTCTCTCTCTCTCTCTCTCTCTCTCTCTCTCTCTCTCTCTCTCTCACTCTCTCTCACTCTCTCTCTCTCTGTCTTTCTCTCTCTCTCTCTCTCCAGGTACTTAGGCCTCCAGGTTGGCTACAAAATTATTGGCATTCTGCTGTTATCTTTCATCAGTTGGAAGCTGACCAGGAACAAGCAGTACAATGTGCAAGATAAAGCTGTTGATCCAGAGTAGCTCCACACTACAACAAGACCTGCTTCAAGCATCATTTTGTATGATGTTTAAATTTACTTAACGTGGCCTTTGTGCCTTTTGTTTTATTTTATTTTTTTTACAGTACAGGCGCCATTTTATATTAGCAGCTAAACTTGAACTCCCTAAGTGACCAGTTTCTGCTGCATGTAGTCCAACTAAAAGAACATGCTTGTGTTGGGGAACAGAGATCGCACAGCCAACTCATCTCACTGAGGCATTGAAATGAAAACACCCACAGCTAGCAAAAGGGACCCCCAGGCTACAGTGGTAGAGGCATCTTCAAAGACTGGGCCAGAGATGTAATTTGGAAGACAACGGGTTCTCTTGCTTTTATGTCAAAACAATGGAAATGGCAAGTGAAAACTGTTACAGTTAAAAGAACCATATGAGTCACTTAAAAGTTGCTAGCAGGGGAAGCCATCCAATTTGGCTATGGAGTTTTGGACTGTTCTACTCAATCAACTTTGACGCATTATCCAGGCTTGCCAAAGGGATGGGACCATGGGAGAAGCAATCTCAACTTGGTTTGCCCTCTCTCTGTTTCCTTTGCTTCTTCCTTTACTTCCTTTACTATACAGGCCAGAACGGATAAAAATGCCAGTCAGTGTATAAAGTTGGTAGTTATGACATGTACACTTTTAAATAAAAAACTTTTTTCTAGTCTGTTCTTACTCTTTTTTTACTGACAGATTTTGAAGAAGCCACTTTTTTCAATATTTCCCCTGCTTTTGAGCCTCCCTGTTGCTATAAGCCATACTGTGTTTGACTTTGGAATTTTTTGACATGGTACTCATCCAAATTTTAATTCTTATGAATCTTTTTAGTAACAGAACAGCTTTTAATTATAGTGATGGAAATATGTGATATTTCATCAAGAAATAATTCATTCCTCATGTTACTTTCTCTTCAACTTAAAAGCATGGCTTGTCATTTTGGTCTTTTCCCCTACTCCCCTAAACAGAAGAGTACTTGGGGGGACAGAGAGAGAAAATCTGTTAAGCTTCTTAAATCTAAAACCACTAAGATGCTATTTAGTTTATGCTGCATTATATTTGCTTGAGATTTGACCCATTTAATCAAAGGCAGTGTTCTCTTCTCTATTCTGCTGGAGGAAGAGAAAGATGCAAATAAATGACTGGATAAATAAATTGATTAGGAAGCATGCCTTAAAGAGAAAGATGCATAGTTGGCAAACAATTGTTTGCATGTGTTTACAAAATTATAAAGTTTGAGGAAACTGTAGGTCATTTTCCAACTCCATAAATATGTAATTTCTTCAAACCTTTTTTTAAATATCTGCATAAAAGAATAAAAACTTACCACAAAGAAATGTTGTACCACCACCTAGTGGCACATTGATTTATGACGGATATATTTTGTTATATTTAACAAAGTTGTTATACTGCGTGCCAAATAGAGCAATAGAGCAATTTAAAGTACAGCTTTTTTTTTTTGCTGATTTATAGTTTTACCAACAATATGAAAATGAAATACATATTGTAAACAGAGCCAGTGAGGAAAAAACTACATGAGTCATTTTAACTTGCAAGCCATAAGAAGATGTAATTTTAAGTGTTGGATTGGCAATGGGAGTAATGGGGTTTAAACATTACTCACTGTTTAGTTGACCCAAACACCCCCCTTTGTTTCTAGTTTTTACCAAGTTTAACATTTATTTGGGAATCCTATGATGGCAAAATAAAATAGTACAATTTGAATAGGAAAATGGTTTGGAGAGTTATATGTGTTTTTATATTCAAGTATACAGTACCATTCCTTATGCTGCTATTGTAAACACACACATGTACAACATACACTTTTGATACACATAATAAATTTATTTTAAAAGCAAAGTAGTTGAGTAGTTAATTATTGCATGTTTTATATATTGCAAAATCCACATATCTAAAAACCATAAAGAAAATTTTGGCATTTGAAAGGAAGGTTAAATAGTATTCAATTTAATAAAAAATATGAAGCTACTAAAACTGCATCTAAAGCATTATTTCAGCTACCACTTATAATTTTAGCATTACACATTCAGCCTAATCTTCTGTGCTTTTACAACATGTCTCGATCACATTTTTAAAAATCAAACTGATTTTATTGAAATAGAAGTACAAGAATGTTCCTTTTAACTGGATTTGTAACAAGTACTACAAATAGTTTGATCTGCAGAACTTAGAAGGTTTGGGAATGAGATTACATTCAAATCAGTAGAAGATTCCAGTCAGATCTCAGTGAACAAGAATGAAAGAGAATTGCTGTATCAGAGAAGATGCAACTAAGCCTTGTTGCTACATAAGTAAATATGACGTGACTAAAATAATTGGAGTACTTCCTGTTTCTATATAGAAGTTTACTGGATTGGCAGCTGTATCTTTATTCAGTCCAAGATAGCAGCATCTCTGCATCCATATAGATTAGATTGTGTTGTATAACATAATTTTATACTTCCCGTGTCTTCCTAGTCTTCCTTTAGATTTGCTTTTTAAAAGCATATAATTTGATTGTATTGCAATCTGTCTCCAGTACTTTAACATTAAAACCCCCCAGTTTTATATAACTGTAAATCATATTTTACAGATTGTGGTGTCAGAAACAGGAAATCTGAACTGGATGGATGGATGTGTCTGTGTGTGTGTGAGAGAGAGAGAGAGATAGGGAGATAAGTGGAAAGCTCAGGTTGAAAATAATGAGAAAAAGAATAAGACTTGGGTACTGAAAAAATACAAGGACTTGACTCCACTGCTATACAAAGGTTCACAGCCTGGCTACCAGTCTAAGGAGATGACACTAGAGAAGCAGATGTCAAGAAGATAAATGCCCTGTTCCCCAAACAGCCATCCATGGTGTATACCTAACTGCGGTGCAACACAGAAACAGCAGCACTGGAAGAACATAGGGAGAAAGAGAAAACACATACGGGTAGCACTAGGTGACTGCAGGACTTGAAAGCAGACCATCCGATCTTCCAAAACAGGAACCAGTTACCACCACAGTAGCAGATAGCCAACAGTAAGTCAAGAACGTGATACGCTACACAGCTCCTGACCCAGACATGATCTATACCCACTGGCTAAGAACATTGCATTGATGCCTAGTAGGACAGATGAACCAGCTGCTAGCACCAGGCTCCCACCCAGACTGGCTAATACAAGGAAGGATATTACTGATCATCAAAGATGGTCACAAAGGAACAGCACTGTCCAACTTTTGACCATTAACCTGTCTCCCCAAAACATGGAAATTCCTATCAGGTATTGTAGCCCTCAAGCTACAGGACCATATGGGTCACTACATAAGCACAGCTCAGAAAGGCATTTGGAAAAACACCAGAGGCTCAAAACACCAGATGCTAATAGATAAAAAGAGCCATCCTCAAGATCTAGACAGACCAACCTGAGCACAACCTGGATTGACTACAGGACAGCCTAAAACCTGGGAGCAAACTCAAGGGCAAACAGATGGATCTGTGGATGCCTGGCACTATACAAAGTCAACAGGACACTAAGGATCTTCCTCAAGAGGACTGCGAGACAACACTGGCTGCTCACATACAGTACCGTAAATGCCGGCGTACAAGGCAACCCTGCATATAAGACGACCCCCGTCTTTATAGCCGGGCCGCATTCCTAGAACGTCGTCTTATACGCCGGAAACTACCAGTATTTCCAGCGTATAAGACGACTCGGCGTATAAGACGACCCCCGTCTTTGGCGCCGATTTCAGCGCTCGCAGAAGTCGCCTTATACGCCGGCATTTACGGTAAATGGCTATTAAGTGAGGCATATAACAAAGTAATGCACTGTCCCCACTGCTTCTCTGTATACGTTTAAACTTCCTCAGCTGGATTATCACAAGGACTGGATACCATGAGTATTAGTATCAGTTCAAGAGTGGAACTACCATTAGCCACCTCCTGTATATTGATGATGTCAAGTGTATGCTAAGAGTAAATGAGAAAATGAGACATTGATCCACCTGACATGTATCTATAGCAGACATGTTAAACTCGCAATGTCACATGACGTGCAACGTATCAGGACGGTTTTGCCATTGCTGGCAATGGGGTGGGCGCGGCTTCTGGATGAGGCGTCCGGCCCGTGGGCCGGCAGTTTGACACCCCTGATCTATAATGAGGACATTGGAATGTCATTTAGATTGAAATGGTAGTAAAGAGAGGGAACTAGTTAAGACTGATGGGGAGGGACTACCAACAGGCCACATAGCAGACATATACACCAGCTAAAAGTATTTTGTTATCCCACAGCCACATGGGAACCATGAGAAAAATATAAGGAAGACAGAAACATTCAAGTAGCAAGTATCGACAAAGGATAAGACAAGTCCAGCTCAATGGAAAGAAAAAAAAAATTCACACCATCAACAGATATGCCCTGCCAGTTATCAGATACTCTGTTGATTACTGAGGATATGAAGGATAAAGAATCTGCCAATGTGAAAATCTGGAAAGTCTTCACAATGCACAGAAATTTCCAGTGCAAGTCCAACACTCAAGAGTTTACACCAACCAGAAAGAGAGTGGATAAGGTTTGGTGACTTTCAATGCCTCTGTCCTAGACAAAACCCAGAGCATCCAGGAATACATTGGTAAGATGGCATCCAAATATGAGCTGCTAAAGAATGCTTGAGGCACAAACAGACATGAAAGAAAGATCAAGAAGAGGAAGTGCTGTGACATATCAAAACCCGCATGTACCATCAAAGATAGCTGAGGTGTCAGGCATTGGGAAATCCTATCATTGGCTGGAAAGGCTGGATTAAAAGACAACAGTGAGGGTCTGATTAAAGCAGCACAAGAACAGGCACTAAAATTCAGATCCATAAAAGCAGGAGTCTAACAAGCTAGATAACACCCAGGGAGAGGGAAAAGAGAGGAAAAAATGGGTTGGAACTAAATGGATAGGAGCAAGCTTGTGGCCACTGGTTCATTCAGAAGTATGGATTGCCTTCATCTTCAAGACTGCAACATCTATGATTCCTTTACCAGGAGGGCGAATGATATATATCCAGCATGTTTTTCCTGTTCCAGTGAGTATTTCAAAGGGAGCTAATAAAACACTGTGCAGGTGACAAATCTGTATGGAGGTGTCTGTAACATCAAGATAAGAGGCCATCTGCTCAGCAAGGTGCTTCATTAACTCTCTTCAATGCCTCTCTGATAACTGCCATTTGCTGTTCAACAGAGCCATTTTTATCTCACCAATAACTAAAAAGTAACCAAAATGAACGGCCAGCTCAGCAAAGAAATCTTACTTCAGCTGATTAAGGGGAAGACTTCCATTTGATCTAGCTACTGGAGGAACAGCTTCAGGAGTTTGTTGCATGCAGATAGTGGCATTTCTTATTCCCAAATTTGATAAATGCTAGAAGATGGGGGCGGGGGCGGGTGTCACAATGAGCATAGAATTCCTATGTACCCTCTAAGAAAGTCATCTCCCGGTAGACAAACTTGTGTTCTTATCTACTTCAATACAAGTAAGGTGACATCACAGCAGGACATGATGTTCCCCCCCCCCCATAATCCTGAAGTTCAAAAGCTGAGACCTCAAGCTGCAATTGGAATTGAAGCAGTGTGATTCTCCAACTAGGAAAAGTTCATATCTTGTGTAATTTTTGCAGATGTCATGCTATCAAGAGCCTGCTTCTTTGGGGAGATGGGTAAAGGGGAGATAAGACCAGTTCTGTCACATCCAAACAATGGGCCAAGGAAGATCAGTGAAAAAGAAGACAACTTGAAAAAGCTAAGCAGGAGGGAAACAGAAAATGCCTCTGTGATTGCTATCAATGTAATAAATTAATAGTATATCAGAGTCTAGGAATAAATGGCCTCAATATCTTGGAAGTTCTTACATGTTTAATTCTACCTGGACACTCAGCTGTGCCACTTGCACAATAATTGAGAATGGTCAGATTTTTCACATTTTTGACTTAGCTTGACGGTAACCATTATAAAGAGAGGAAATGGTTTAAAATCAAAACAGCTAAGGATTATTTCAGGTGGCCCCTGGTGCAGGGAGGGGTGATACGAAGACAACTTCATGATAATATATCACACAAAAGATGTTGCCAGGGCAAGTCTATGTTGGGGTTAGGTGCAACTGGAGAATTTTTGATTTCTACTGATTTTCCTTTAAAGGTTTGTGAGATATTTTTCATATCCAAACAGCAGGACACTGCCTCTTCAGTATCACAGGAGCCTTTTTTAGCTACACATTTGTAAATAGCTGATCAAGCTAGCTCAGGGGTATCAAACTCAATTTTATTCAGGGCCGCATCAGCATTGCGGTTGCCCTGGGGGGGGGGCAGGTGTGTGTGGCCAGGGTGGGTGCGGCCTACTGGGTGGGCGTGGATGGAGTGGGTGTGGCCTACTGGGTGGGCATGACCAGCTCTACATTGTTCGTGTCAAGGTGCCTGTGGGGGCCTGGGCAGGAATGGGACAGATCTGAGGGTCTCTAGCAGAAGGGGGTGGGACCGGGGCAAGCGCCAAGGCATGGTCTATTTTTTCATTCCTCACAAAGGATGACACCTCCCCAGCATGCACCCAGGGGGCGGGATCGACATGGCAGGGGCTGGTTCCTCGTTGTTTCTAGATGGCCTTGAGCTAAGACTGAATATGTTTCAGCATAGATGGCCACCACAAAATTGTACATTGGCTCCCGGCCAGCCTGAGCCAGGGCCAAGGCAGTGGGGGCTGTTCCCTCACTGTTTCTAGGATGGCTTCGCGGGCCACATGAAACCACTTCCTGGGCCACATCCAGCCCCGGGGCCTTGTGTTTGACATTTCTGAACTAGCTTGTATAAATTTATTTCTATTTACTTGCCTCTG